GGTCGTGGTCGTGGCGCGCCTTTGGGTGGACAGGTTCTGGAGGGTTTCCTCCGTGAAGGTGGTCGCGGTCGTGGCCGCGCTCATGGAGGTATCCCGGAAGAAGTAAACCGGGGGGGTTTCCTCCGTGAAGGTGGTCGTGGCCGTGGTGTTGGTCACGGTCAACCTTTGGACGGGTGGAGCCACGAGGACATTGTTCGTGTGGGCGGTCGCGGGCGCGCCGAAATTTTGGCCCGTCTTTGCCCAGGTGATCGTGGTCGTGGTGCCCTGGTTGCTGATGAGCCACAACCTGGCCCTTCCACCGAGTGAACTGTGTTTACTTATTTTAACTTTTAGTGTTAGTTTTTTATTTTAATTAGTGTAGTGCATTTAGTTATTAGTGTATTCTAGTTTATACTTGGATTATCTTATTTTTATTATTGTATTTCTTCGTTGGATCCCTCTTCATTGGTGAGTTATCCTAATATTTTATTATTTTTATTTTTAGTTGTTTTTTAATTTTAATATTATTCTAATTTTCTATGTACGCTTTTAAGCGATTTACGTGCGTTAGCAATTTTTTACGCGCGATTTTTATAGTATAGTTTACGTCGGAATTTTTTTCTAAAATTACGTATGGTCCGGTCCATAACGCATCTAATTTTTTCGATCGTCCGCGACGTAGGGTTTCGTCGTATAGAAGTACCTTGTCCCCTATTTTGAATTTAATTTCTTTGGCTTTTTTGTCGTGATATTCTTTCGCTTTAATTTTTTCTTCTTTTAAATGTTCTCTTGCTATTTGATTCGTTGCTCGGAGTCGTTCTTTTAATTCTTGAGCGTAGTCGTCATACGTATATGACGGTTTTGGTGGTATCGTTAGTGATGTTGGTAGAGTAGCTTCGTGTCCGTAGACCAATTCAAATGGTGTGTATCCTGTAGCTGTGTGCGGTGTCGTGTTGTACGTAAACATTGCGTATGGTAGCCACTCATCCCAATCACTTTGTTCTTCATTTATATAATGTCGAAGATATTCCGCCAGCGTTCGGTGTGAACGTTCTAATGCTCCGTTGCTTTCCGGATGGTATGCGGTTGTTTGAATCTTCTCGATTTTTAATAATTTGCAAATATTTTTAAACATTTCGCTTACAAAGTTTGTACCTTGATCGGTCAAAATTTTTTCGGGTATCCCGTATTCGACAATTATTCGCTTTACAAACGCTTTTGCTACGGTTGCGGCTTCCTGATTTTCTATCGGAATGGCTTTGCTAAATTTTGTAAGATTATCCTGGAAGGTGAGAACATATTTATTCCCTGCTGTAGTTACCGTTAATGGTCCTACAATATC